ACCTTCGCAACCTCATAAAGCTACCGGGGTCCTACCATCAATCTGTCTGAAGCATGTATCATCAGTAATTGTCAAGTGCTCGGCGTATGCTTCCATCCAATATTCGAAGGTCACTTCAACGAAAGGGCCATCCATCCGCCCACGGATCGAGTACTCGATGTTATGACATGTCTTCATTACGTATTGAGAGGATTCGTAATATACATTAGTTGTAGCTCCTTCCCGAGAAAATAGGCCAGCCCCGGCTCGTTCGGTGTTCTTCGTGTCCACTGGCATCACCCATACAGATGAGATAGTGATGACAGATGGAGATTACGCGATTCTTGTATATATATTTAGTTCTCCCGCCTATTTCGGGAAGCAGATGGACTAATGGAAGGTAGCCAGTCGGAAGAATATCCTAACAATGTCGTAGACCTTTCATGAAATCCATGGGAATATTATTGATTGATAGTGAATATGGTTAATTTCTTTCCCCTCGGGTCCTCATGGCGAGTGGCGGCTGTGGCAACAGCCTGGGTTGAGATGACAAAGGACAAGCAGACACCATCACATCAGCATGGGCTTAAAGCACCCTTCAAATATGATCCATGGCCACTAAACGCTCATAGACTTGGGATCAAGTGGCGTTGGAGTGAAAACGACCGGCGATGTTGTCTAAATGAGGATTTTTGGATCAACCTCCTGTATCGCTTGGTTTTCGCTTTTAGATTCCACTGTGTGAGAAATTTAGTTCCTCTCTCCGAGTATGTCGTCTTGGTAGATGCCAATAAAGTCTTGAGACGGCTTGGCTTCTTTAGATATCCAGGTAGCCATCCGTTCTTCGTTCCTTGAAAGAGACTGATCTCTGACGCCTGTACCAAACAAAGGCGAGTCCAGCTACTAAAGCAACGCCAGTTGTCGCACCAATAACTCCAATAGCTTGGTTTGAGAGTCGAATATGCTTATTTGATGAAGGGCTGCCAACAGAGCTATTGGCGTTACTGTGGTCATTAGAAAGATTAGTTATGATAGAGAGGACGAATGTGACAGGACATCTTACTTAATTGGCTCGTGGTAAGCTGATGATACAAGCGGAGGGCTGATATCACTTTCATCTGGAAGCTCAGCAGTCATAGAGCCATCGAGGGCTCCATCTGTGCTCATTCCATGGGTACAATGTGTATCTGCGTTGGCTGTAGGAGACCCTGAAGGTGGTCGATCGCTGCCATTCTGTCGGGGAATAAAAATAGATTGAGATGCATTCATTGGAATATAAGGGTAGGTACTGACGTATATTTCCGTTTCTTCTGCTGGGGACTCTATGGTGGCACCTGCTTGGAGTGTAGTGCCCGGAAGCTGTTGTGAACCACGAGTAGATGCAGGAGCAGACATTAACTGAGTGGTGACTGCATTGGATTCAATGGAAGGAGACCCCAAGGTTAGCTCGACAATGTACTTTATGGTAGTGGTCTGCGGGTTTCTAAGTAACGAAAACGTTTGGTTCCTCAAAAAAGTATCGTACCCCGTCCTCAAGAGTGTTGGTCGATAGGTTTGCGTCTACCGAAGTTGATGTAGGATCACATGGTTTTGGAGAGTCCGCAATAACTTGGATCCCTGCATACAGCACCACGGGTCGATGTTAAGAGAGCCTTGAAGTATATTAAGGGAATAAATACCAACATAGAGTTTCTTCGTTTCCAACGATATCAGAAATTCGAAAACGGATCGTGTCAGTGAAATTGGCTGTTTGAAGGATGTCAAAATCCATGACGCATAGAATGGCGATCCTCGCAATAGCGTACATACCAAATTCAGGAGTAACCCATATTCGAAAGTTTTCTTCGACTGTTGAGGTCATACGCTCCTCGCTCCACGTAGAGTTGTTGTCTACCGCGTGAGCAACGGCGAAATAAATATCATATGGGGAAATTCCGCCATGAAAATACAACGCAATCGGTTCACATTCTGATACAAAAGGTGACCACTCTACAGATAATGGTTCTGGTTCTTCATCCTGAGATAATACACCAACCATCCACCAACCCAGAAGCAGGATGCATGAGACCCAGCGAAGCATTTCTGGTGGAACGAGATTGTACGAGAAGGGAGGGGACAGAGTTTCCTATAGGCAACGTAGGATAAACCAAAGCCTGAACGACTGCGTTGTTTGAAACGCCTATTTCTCCGGGTGATATTGACGCTCACTACGCTCGTTTAAACTTTATTGACCTCCGGAATACCTCTGATTCTAATCTCCTTTCCAGTGGTGGATAGGAGAGCCCTGCCTGCTAAACCTGTATCATAAGGCCTCCAGTGTTCCATTGAAATATTGAAATATTTGCTCTTCATACCCAGAAATAGGCATTACTGACTAGCGAAGGGCTATTTCACGTTTGGTCACACCACAAAATCTATCCATCACGAACTCTGGTCCGATGCCACGGAGCGCGAGCCTAGCTGCCCGTTGCCTTCTTTTCCACGCCAAATTCGTCGCTGTAGAACGATAACGGAGAAACAGGCAAGATAGTGCCTATATTTCTGACTAGTGCCACAGGGTCTAGGCTCAATGGAGCTGCGCCATGGGGACACAATAAGGGTTCAAGTTACAATCACCACATGCCTCATTTCAGTAGCGCTGGCGCAATTGACCAAATCTTGTACCCTGAATCTCCCACATACAAGATAATGATTTCACAAGGAAGGACTTACGATAAACTTCGGAGATTTCATCATTAAGTATATAAGGAAAATGGGTTCAGCCTGCCTTAAATGTAGAACTGATTGTAATTGTAGCTAGACACTTTAATTCGTATCGGGGATTCAGAGACTGACCACTACAGTCACCAAGATAGCATCTATCGTTAAATGAGCCTGGCTATCGTCCAATTCTTCAGTGGCCTTGAGGTTAGTGACTGGTAGGCGCAACTGTGCCATATACCAATAAATATAAACCTAAAGCCTATAAGAACGCGAATTCCTTCAGAAATCAGAGTTTACAAGCCCATTTCCGCCCCATCCCTCGCTCATTTGAGCAAGACAGAAGGTCTTCTGCATACTGGTGATTTTAACCTTCGGTATCTGTACCAGGCAAATAAAATTCCTGTTGCGAAAGCAAGGCCGATTGTGGCACCAATAATTCCGGCAGCTTGACTGGAGAGTCCGATGAACTTATTCTGAGGATAGTCACCCTTGCTATTACCGCTGGACGCG